CAAGCAAGCCGCCGGCACCAGCCTTGAGAAACCGGTGAGAAAGCTTGGATTTCTCCTTCCTTTCTTGTTCTGGAACCCAGAAATCCTTTCCCCCTTGCAGGAAATCCGGATCTGCTCTGCTCCTTCCTTCCTCACCGCCGGCTGCCCTTGATTGTGGGTGATTTCTGGGCATTTTTTCGGTAAGAATAGCCGCTAATTCCTTTGTTCTTCCTTGAATTGGCTTGGGTTAACTTTGGTTTCTCCAATTTTTGGGTAGCCATGAGTTCCCTGCAGAATTTCTCCCAAATTGCCGCCGGCTTCTTCCCCAATTGCAGTCCGGTTTGCAGCTGGAGAATTCTGGTATGTGGCAGCCTTAAACCATTGTTTTTAAGCTTGATTAAGGTGGAATTAGCTTGATTAATTCGCTGCCGTGTGATGTCCGAATTTGACAGAAAATTGGGAAGGAATTCCGGTAGCTTTAGGATGAGATTTAAGCATTAATTCAAGTGGGATTTATGTGATTGAGTGTTAATTGACTGTTGTGTGATTTTTGGAAAAAATCCCGTGAATTAGTTAGTGTTTTGGCCAATTTTTGGAAGTTGAGTTACTGTTTACGCCGAGGTAACTGTTCACGGCACTGTTCATCGGTACTGTCACACCCCGAGAGCCAACAATTAACGGGGATTTAAATAATTAGGTTGTGATATAAGAACAAATTTGTAGATAATTGATAATGTGAAGATTGATAGGAAATAGTATCGTGATTAGGGGATAGTCATGATGATTTCAGTTTGAATTGGTGATAGTGCGGTATTAATTTTGGAATATTTTGATTAGGTTCTCGGTTGTTCTGTCAGTTAGCATTGAGATCGAGTGTTTGGTTTATGCGAGTGAGGTAAGTAAATTTATGGTAATACCTGTACAGTTTTTAAAAGCATGTTTTGGTTTGTTTTGAAGTGGTGGTGGGACTAAACCCGTTTTATGCAAAAGTAAGTATGACTGATTTAAAGTGAAATTTTTATGCTTTTCATTAAATTGAGCATGCCTACTTGAAATTTAATTGATTGTCCTGATGATTTGAAAGTGATTGGTGAATTATGTTTTTCTGTTAACTTCAGCCTGTTTTGTCTCCGATGTGGTCATGTTTCTGTAATCCTGCTAGTAGAGGTTAAACGCTAGCACATGTCGGCACATGTCGATATGTTATCTGTAATCCTACTAGTGGGGGTTAAACGCTAGCACATGTCGATATGTTATTGATAGAACCGGTTCGTTTTTGTAACCCTACTAGTGGGGGGTTATACACTAGTAATTTTTGTAGCCTGCTAGTGGGAGGTTTAAACATTGGCCGTGACTTATAGAGGAGACGTCTATTTCGTTCCCGTACTGTATCTGTTTTCGTGATTGCACTTGTTGGCATGCTATAAGTTTAATTAAGGACTATCCATATTTACTTACTGAGTTTATCTCATAGTTTTCCCTTGTCCACCATTTCAGGAAGTGAAACCGAGGACGGGAAAACCACAGGAAATGACGAGTTAGAAAGCTAACCATTTCGAGATTTGTTATAGATTTTAGATATAAATCGTGATTTTGTAAACCAAAGTGTATTTGGAGATTTTATGATATCAGAGTGAATTTTAAAATATTATCTTTAGATTTTGGTGGTATCAGAGTATAGTATGATAAGTTCAAAGCCTTGTGCATTTGTGGGACCCTCTCACGAGTGCACGACGTTCGTCGCGCCTCGAATTCGGGTTTTGGGGCGTGACATCTCGCCTTCCCCATCAATCAAAATTTGAATTTCTTCTAGGTTGTCACCTACAACTTCAACGGATTTTTCTTCTTTTTCCTCAGCTTGTGACCGAAGCCTCTTCTTTGTCTCTTGTGTGAAGCTTGCCACGTTATCATCTTCAACCTCTGTCCTCGAAGACCTCATCTCAACCTTTCCAACATCCCCTACATTTTTGAACTCCTGTTCCTTTATGTCACTATCCATGGACCATGATTCATGCTCCTCTGATTCACTTTGGAACGTAGGCATAAAATCTTGTTTCAGTGAGAAAAAGCTGTTAGTGAACTCTTCTTCTGTAAATTTGATGTTGTATATGATCCCGTTAACTTTAACTTGCCGCATCATTGATATTGTATTCATGATGGGAGTGGATATCAAGAACCTGGCTATATCAAACCTCTTTCTTTTACTTGTGCTGTCATCCAAACATATAAATTTTCCCCATGCACAGCCCATGGTAGCAAAGAAATCCGGTTCCCAGGCATTTAATGGAGCCCCTTGACATCTCATCCAGACAAACCTCTCCTTGCTCACCATATCTAGTGTCCAAGGTTGCACTTCCTCAAACCATTGTCCGAGCCAATTTGCTCCCAACTCCACCAGGTCTTTCAGTTCTTCCTTGTCTTCACAATCTAAGAGAACCAATTTATCGCCCATTGCTCGAATCCGGCATGAAAAGTACCCCTCCATGTAGAATTTTTCCTGAAGATTCCGGACCATTTCCACAGAGTGTGCCGTTCCTACATAACAGCCATCGAGCCAAGAGTAATCCTCAGATTTTACATTGTACTCTATTCCCGACCAATCCTCCCTCTTTCCTATCTGTTGCCATATTTTTCTATTCCTTTTTGAGCGGTTTCCTGGTCTTGATCTGCTTCTACTTCTTCCTCTTCCCCCACTTTGATCTTCATTGCTCTGAAACTTCCTCTCTTCATACACTCTATTTTTTCCCTGGTCATTAACCACTTCTGCATAGCTTCTATACTGTGTTCTTGTCTCCAGTACTTGCTTGTTTCTTTTCTCCCCTTTTTCATTCATCTCTTCATTGTATCTTGGTATGTTGACCCATAATTTGCGTCCACCAATCCAGATCTGATCTAAGTGCCTTTCCAGCTCCTTTTTATTCTTCACATCTAGAAATCTTACAAATCCGAACTTGCTGCCATTTCTACTTTTCCTGTTAGGACTGTAGATGTCATAGACTCTCCCAAATTCCAGGAAAGTTCTCCACATATCTGCATAACTCCAATCCTTTAGAAAGTTTGTGAAAAAGTATGGGGTGGCTTGTTTGTACAAGCCTCTGTTATACGATTCCCTTTGCTGCACTTTTTGAAACAGGTTCCGATTATAAGATTCCCTTTTTTGCTCTTCTTGGCACTGTCCCTGGTTATACTACATTTGCCTATGACTTCCTATATGGTTGTACTGCATATGCCCCTGGCTTCTTGCTTCAACCCCCCTCTGTTGGCTTTTTCCCCGTGATCTTGCATGCTCTCTATTCAGCATCGTTAGTCTTGCCCGTGATCAACGTCCGCCACCTGCTCCTCTCTCTCTCTCTCTACCTTTCTCTCTCATCTTGCCAGTAAAAGTTTGAAATACCATATTACTATCTAGTCGTGAGTGAAGTTTTACTCTATTTGTTTCGAGTGCATGAGTTGATAACATCATAGTTGACACCAGCTAGCAATTAAACAAATATTTTTTTTCTAGCAAAGGACATATTTTTTGACATATAAAAAATTTAAAAAAGTTGATATTAATTTTAAAATCAACATTACATGTATTCATTTAATTTATTAATTATAAAAATCAAAATCAATCTTTATTTTTTATGTAATTTAATGATTAAAAAATATATTAATGTACTATTAATTTGTATTTAAGAGTATAATTAAA